TTCTTCTCGTATGATCCTATTGATCAAGTTTGCACTCCTCCAAACAACGTTGCTTTGCCACCTGAAAACACAAACGTGAGCTAACCGGCGGGTGTGTGCCGGAAACCCCTCCGATGCCTAAGTCAGCAACTAGACAATAGACAATAAGCTCTGTGTATTCTAGAGTACGAATTGAGATACCGGTCCATAGGTCTGGTCATGAGCTTTTATAGACTTTACTTTGGCACAATCCTAGTAGGATTCCAACTCTCCCTATGGGAGTCCTCCTAGGAATCACACACCCTACTCACAACCAATCAAGTGAGATGGTTTTGCACAATCCTAGTAGGACTCTATTCTCCTTAGCAGAGTCTTCCTAGGAGTCACACTCCTACTCACTACCAACCAAGTGAGATGGTTTACACAATCCCATTAAGACTCTAACTCTCCTTAGCAGAGTCCTACTAGGAGTCTCATCACTGCAAGCCAAGTGAGATGGCTGAACCCTTTACCTCGGTTATACATTTTTGACCGAACTGCCTTATCTCAGTCCCCTATCATTCGGACCGTGTGATCGAAAGCCGATCTATCAAATGCCACCCTACCGAGCTATACGCAACTCGACCCTCATTATTGATGTTACCTCGGTTTTGTCTGTTTAGACCGAGGTAACTACAGCTGTCTCCGACCAAACTAACAAGGACGAGGTCCAACTTGCGAAACCCAAACACCTCGGCCGATAATTCAGCCTAAATCCGAAATATGAGATGTCTTCTTGGCCTAAGACCGAGCTATACCAGCCCTTATCTCGGCCCATTGCGCGGCCCAACTTCCGAAGAAGATTTTTCCTAGCTTGGCCCAATTTGTTTACAAATTACCCTCTCAATTGCCCCTTAATTCCATCTGCGTAGTATGATTGGGATTATTTCTCCTCCAGCTGAGCTAAGAACGCCCTACTCTGCCGAGTTAAAAAGGTTTTTTGGCCCCGAATAAGCCTTGTCAGTTGCTCAACATGTTCTTCCACTAATCTGGTACGACGTCATTCCCAGGATACATGACGTGCCCCCAATATCCTCGTTCTCTTGTTACCACCGTCATGCCAAAAATTTGAATAGCCCTGCTTTTTTGCCTTCAACATATATATCCTTCGAGTTTGCAATCGTATGGCCAGTCGTTCTTTCTGTGTCTCACTGAGTAGACTAACTCGGTTTATACTAACCCTGCCAACCTGCTTTGGCCGAGATAACCATCTCGGTCCAGGAAAAAATTTGTTGGTCAAACCTGCCAACCTGTTTTGGCCGAGGTAACCATCATCCCAGCCAAAGAGTTCAAAAATTTGTTGGTCAAACCTGCCAACCTGCTTTGGCCGAGGTAACCATCATGTCGGTCAAAGAGTTCAAAAGTTTGTTCGTCAAACCTGCCAACCTGCTTTGGCTAAGGTAATCATCATCCCGGCCAAAGAGTTCCAATAATTTTGTTGGTCATACTTGCCAACCTGCTTTGACCGAGGAAACTATCATCCCGGCCAAAGAGTTTCAAAAATTTTGTTGGTCATACCTGCCAACCTGCTTCAGCGCGGATCCTTATCTTGGCTTGAAGAAGAGCTAAATGCTTGGCCATTCCTACCAAACTTCTTGATTACCCCCCAGTAGGGTAAAGACTTGTTGGTCAAACCTACCAATTTCCTGCAGCCTAAATCCTTATCTCGGCTTTGGAGAAGTGTTGGTTTTTCCAGCCAACCTCTTCAGCCCAGATCCTAATCCTAGCTGAAGAGAGCTCAAAGTTGGTTATCCCGGCCAACTCTGAGCGAAGTGTTTAGTTTTTCTAGCCAAACGTCCTGCAGCTTGGATCCTTATCATCAGCTTAGGAGAAGTGTTGGTTTTTTCAGCTAACCTCTTCTGTTGCCCCCCAGTCGGGCAAAGACTTTTCAGAAAGAGTTGGTCAAACCTGCCAACCCACTTTGCCCCTAGTTGGGCAAAGATTTTTGCGCGGTCGGTCCTACTTGTCAACCGTGTTATCTTTTGCCAAAGGTATTTTGTCCGACATCACTGTTGTGTCAGACTCTGCCTTGGTGCGCGCCCTATCTTCCTCTACCCTGATGTGTTGGTGCACTCTCTCTGTCAGGGCTTCCATAGTAAGGGGCAGCGTCATTGTCATTGAATCCCTCAACTCAGTTCACGATATTCTGCTTCAGTCAATTTTACACCATCAAATAGATACTGCTCGTCTTTTGTATCATCTCTGAGCTTCTCCAGTTTCTTCAAATACTCTTGCCTTGAAACTTTCCTTATAGCTCCAATGTCAACTTCCTCCAAAGCATTAGATCTCTGAACAACTTTTTCTTCCTCCCTCTGTGTTAATTTTGGCTCAGCTAGCTTCCTTGTTGCTGCTGCATCCCGCTCTTTGGTCACGCAATTGTTCTTCCTCCTACTCAAAACCCTCATCATCATCCTGAGAAGCCTGTCTTTTGACTCGTCTTTCTTCTTCACTACTCTTCTTTTTCTTCGAATCTTCCTTCTTTGTCTTCGTCTTCGTCTTCGTCTTCTTCGACTTTCTCTGCCTCGAATCCTCCTCCTCTGTCTCTGACATCTTTTTTCTTTGCCTTTTATCTGGTTAGACTCTATGTCAGTCGCCATTCTTCTTATTACTTTGTTTTGCTCCCTTACGTGATCTTCGAGAACCTGAGGATCCATCTTCCGCCTCTGTCTATCAGGGCTTTGAGAGCGGTGTGGACTTGAGCCCTGTCTTTCTCTTGCTTCTCTCCGCGGATTCCTTCGCTGAGGATCTAATTCTGCCATGGGTGGGATAAAAGGTAAACCTTCGCGCCTTCCACCCCTTCCGGTGTTTGCCCATCAATAACAGATTGCGGCAAGTCTTTATTGTGCGCTATTGCTTTCAACTAGAGAGGAAAACTTGATCAAGAGGTTTTGCTCTTTATGAAATTTCCACAGACGGCGCCAATTGTATGAGCACGAAATAATTCTTCTCGTATGATCCTATTGATCAAGTTTGCACTCCTCCAAACAACGTTGCTTTGCCACCTGAAAACACAAACGTGAGCTAACCGGCGGGTGTGTACCGGAAACCCCTCCGATGCCTAAGTCAGCAACTAGACAATAGACAATAAGCTTTGTGTATTCTAGAGTAAGAATTGGGATACCTGTTCATAGGTCTAGTCATGAGCTTTTATAGACTTTACTTTGACACAATCCTAGTAGGATTTCAACTCTCCCTATGAGAGTCCTCTTAGGAATTACACACCCTACTCACTACCAACCAAGTGAGATGGTTTTGCACAATCCTAGTAGGACTCTATTCTCCTTAGCAGAGTCCTCCTAGGAGTCACACTCCTAGTCACTACCAACCAAGTGAGATGGTTTACATAATCCCAGTAAGACTCTAACTCTCTTTAACAGAGTCCTACTAGGAGTCTCATCACTGCAAGCCAAGTGAGATGGCTGAACCCTTTACCTCGGTTATACATTTCTGACCGAACTGCCTTATCTCGGTCCCTTGCCATTCGGACCGTGTGATCGAAAGCCGATCTATCGAATGCCACCCTACCGAGCTATACACAGCTCGGCCCTCGCTATTGATGTTACCTCGGTTTGGTCTGTTTAGACCGAGATAACTGCAGCAGTCTCCGACCGAACTAACAAGGACGAGGTCCAACTTGCGAAGCCCAAACATCTCGGCCCATAGTTCGGCCTAAATCCGAAACATGAGATGTCTTCTTGGCCTAAGACCGAGCTATACCAGCCCTTATCTCGATCCATTGCGTGACCCAACTTCCAAAGAAGATTTTTCCTAACTTTGCCCAATTTGTTTACAAATTACCCTCTCAGTAAGTATAGATTTTTTTAAACAAAATATGATTTTTTTTTTTTTCTTCTAGAATTTGACTTCTTTACAACTCAAAATAAAATAAATAAATAAACTACGTAAAATTCTACAAATTAGTAAAACTTGACAATACTAAAAATCATAATTACAAATAAATAAATTGCACCACTAATCAAAATGTATTTATCTTTAAAGAAAAAGAAATTTAAAAAAAAAAAAAGAAGCAAGAATTTGATATTTATACAATCACCAAGCCCAATAATCATCACCAGCTAGCCTCATAATTAGAGAAAAATAAACACAACAAAGAATTCAAATTCCTTTCCATGGGAGTTAAATCCACAATCTCATATCACAAAATGGTCTCGTTTGGGAACAGATTATTTTAATAAATTTTTAATTTCTTATTAGAAAAATATGTAAAAAAATAAAAAAAAATAATATGACAACTTATGATAACTTTCTAACTAAAATCTATAATTTAAAAGAGAGCTGATTAGAACTCTGAAAAACAGAACACTAATCAGCTCATTGGAAATTTAACCAAAAAAAAAAAAAGACTTAGCTATCACATCAATGGGGTTCAGCTCATTAGAGCTCCTCCTAATACTCCATTTTTAGTGCTCCCAAACATTTTTGAATTTAAATATAAAGCCTAATAATGAATGAAAATCACACCATCCAATGTAAATATAAATAAAATAGTTATGTTGGGGATCCCAAATATTCTGTCAAATCTTTAATATGAGTGTGTGACCTACACACATATGAATTTATGCGAAACCCACCACATGTGAAAAATTTGATAAAATATTTAATAAAATATGGGTAAATTACATTAATACCTCCTGAGATTTATGTTTATTACCGTTCCCCCTCACCTTTGGAAATTACATCCCTTATCCTGAGGTTTAAAGTTTCATTACAGATTGTCTCATGAGATTTAAAATTTCATAACAGTTCCTTCCCTCACTGTAATGATCATCATACATAAAATTAAATTAACAAAAGATCAGTATAATTTTCTGAATATAAAGAGAGAAATTATAATAAACATAAATCTCAAAAAAGTATCAATATAATTTATCCATAAAATATCCATAATATTTCTCTTAATAAAAAGACTTTTGAAACACAGTTAAAAGAAACCCCTGTTAAACGACTTTAACTTTCCGATGTACCTTCAAAAAAAATAAACAAAAAAAAACCACAGTTAAAAGAGACCCTAACCATGTAAATCAATGATCGAAATGGAACCAAATGGCTCACGATCAACCCCATTTCCCTGTCACGAGGAAATGGTTATAGAGTTCATGACAATGAAAGGACTAACCAGCTTGTCTCTGTCTGTCAGGTCTCTTCATAACCTTTGGTCAAATCACACCTTTTTAACATCTCTACAACCCAACAACCCAACTCTCTCTCTCGCTCTCGTTTTATATACTTCTAGTTTGCTTCTTGTAGTGAAGTGCATGTATGTGGTTCCAGAATTGCTTTTAGTAGCAAAAAAAACAGAGCACTGATTGGAATTGTAGAAGGGAGGGAGATCCTCAAAATAGGAAGAACCCATATCTCTGTTGCTGCTGGAAATGTCCACAAATAAATTCGACCTCCCGAAAATCGAGGTCTATCAAATATCTAAAGCTAAACCCTTTGCCAACTTTCTGTCATTTTCTCTAGAAAATGTTGTTTTTGCTTTTCTTGCTTTCATGATTTTTGTTTTGCCTGTTGGGTTTTTTTGGGTGGACAGACACAAGTTCTGAAGGTGCACATAAACTGTGATGGGTGCAGGCAGAAGGTGAAGAAACTCCTCAAGAGAATTGAAGGTAACCAACCAAACCCATTTTTTTCCTAACTAGCCTCACTACTCTAACATGTAAATTAAAAAAAATTAAAAATGTTATCAAACAAACTAAACCTTTTAACATTAATCTTTTTATAAACTTATCTTTAATCAATAAACTAGCTTAAGTACTGTGGAATACATGGATAGGATCATTTTAAAGTTTTGGGCTAGTTGCCTTTTTCAAGTTGCTAAAAGCTAATCACTAAAAAATAATAATTGCAGAATGATGATTTTTTTTATTTTATTTTATATATTTTTGTTTTATGATGTTATATGGAAGATTTGGTTGAATATTAATAACATTTATATAGAACGCATTGATAAGTTTGACACTGTGGTACAAAAGATTTTAAATGTGATAAAATATAATATGAAAAGGTTGAATTAAATATGATCATTTTATTTTAACATTAGCACTAAAAGAAAGTTGGGATAAGAATGCCAAACAATCTTTTGAAAATCCTATACGAACATGCTAAGATGGTTGGAATTGGAATGGACATGAATAAGTCGTCACCATGCTTTACTCCTTAAAAAAAATATCATCTTAACCTTGATATATATATATATATATATATTTAATTTTTGGATTCAGGTGTTTATACAGTGGACGTAGATTCAGAGCAACACAAAGTCACAGTTACAGGAATTGTCGAGTCTGATACCTTAATCAAGAAGTTGGGAAGATCAGGTAAACATGCAGAGATTTGGTCACCACCAATCAACATTGACCAAAACCAGAACCATGAAGAACATGCTAACTGGATCAAAAACGGCAAGGCCCAAAACCAAATGCAACGCCGTCAAATGAAGGAGATGAAAAGGCCCAAAAGCCGGTTGCCCCCTACTTGTGGCCCTGAGGCTGAAGAGGACTGGGGGTATTATGGGTATTTGAACCATCATAATATGGGTATGGATGATGAGGCTATAACTGATGGGATGGAGAATGTACATGTGGGTGGGAATGGGCAGGGATATGGAATTGATGGTGATGACAACATGAAGTCCATTATGGGTTTTCAAGGTATGAGAGACAATGGTGTTGGTGGTGGTGGTTTTCAACATATGTATGGTGACTTACCATCTTCTGAATATCATCAACACCCACAATACATGATGATGGGCAACATGCAGGGACATCCATACAACCAACCATCTCCGACGATGATGATGAACATGGGCACACGCAATATGGATACCATGAACATGGGTATGCGTCACATGCATACCGGGAACAACCATCCGATGATGAATCGCTACATGCACATGCATCAACCCTAGATGATGAGTAGTACATCTTCTCTATTTTCCAACAATGACTATTATTATAGTAACTTACCGTATTAAGTCGAGTCGATTCTATAGACAAACTTAGCCGCAGCAATATTAAATACTATTACTATGTGATTGTAATGAAAAGAGAAGAAGGATGAGGAAGTGATGTGATGATGATGGTGGGAGAGTAATTTGAAAGCAATCTTGAATTTGATATGGATATTTATTGGTACTGTATTTTATTGCTGCCAATATTATACAAGATCAAGCTAACAGTTCTTTTCAGCTTATTTGATTTTGGTTTCTAGAAAATATTTTTATTTGTTTATTTTTCTTATTTTTTTAATGAATTTTTTTAATATTTTAAGTAATTTTTTTTTTAATTTTTAAATACACGTAACATAAATATATTTATGAATTTTTTAAAATATTTTTTTTTATAAATATTTAATTATTTACATATATTTAATTAAAGTACATTTAAAAAGTAAAAAAAAATTAAAAAATATTTATTAAAAATTAAAAAAAAAGAATTTTTTTTATAAAAAAATTAATTTTAAAAAAATTGAAATCAAACATTGTTTTTGTTTTTGGCAACCTCTCTCTTGGGTTGTGTTTGTTTGAAGAGAGTGGAGAGGAGGGAGGGAGAATGGACTGATGAGCATGTGAGCTTTACAGTTCAGAATTTGTTGTCAAATAATCTAGCATTTGTTTGGCCAGACTAAGGCCTATTTTGAGAAGTAATTTTTTTTTTTTTTTTTTTTACTTTTGACTTATTAGTTTTTTTTTAAAGAATATGTAAAAAAAATAGATATGTGATGCGATTCAAATAAGTTAATAAACTAATAAATTGATTTTTTTTTCCCTAATTGATAAAATAGGCCTAAATAATTTGAATTTTTAGATCAATTGTTATATCACAGAATATTTTTTTCATACTTAAATTGACCTTAGCCCAGGTTTTTTTTTTTTATTTCAAATTTTGATTTGTTTAGTTTTTTTTCTTTCATCTACATAGCTTTTTCACTTAATGACGGTTACACGTTTCATTTCTGAGATTATGTGTGTAATCTTCAAGGATCTAATGCCTTTCTCCTAAAGACAACTAGGGTGTTTTTGTTTTGAAGGATAAGAGTGTGAGATTAGACTATTAGTCATATCGGACTAATAGTCCATTGTATGTTTGAAAAATTTTGCTCCGGACTAATAGTTCCCCAGAACTATTAGTCCCACAAATATGGGACTATCATATCCCATAAGGGGTGGGATAGAAACCATGGAATTGGTATCTATGGGATTATGTTATGGAATGTCCATTTTACCCTCCATGCTATTACTTAGTAAACAATTAGAAAATGATAAAATAGCCTTTTGAACATTTATAAATTATTTTTTTAGTGTTGTTAATTTAAAATTATATATTAAATAAAAAATTTAAATTATTAATTATTAATTAAATTTAATTATAAATTATAAATTAAAAATTATGGCCTTATAAATTAAATTTTTTTAGTGTTGTTAAAAAATTCAATTAAATTTTTTTATTGTTGTTGAAAAATTAAATTTACATATTAAATAAAATTATTTTTTTAGTGTTGTTAATTTAAAATTATATATTAAATAAACAATATAAATTATAAATTAAATTTATTTAAAAATAATAAATTATAAATTATGGCCTTATAAATTAAATTGTTTTTAGTGTTGTTGAAAATTTAATTTATATATTAAATAAAATTATTTTTTTGTTGTCGTTAATTTAAAATTATATATTAAATAAAAATTATAAATTACAAGGGTAAAATAGTCTTTTGAACATTTATCCTTATCCAGTCCGTCTAACCAAATATTTGATTCACTAAAAATAGTCCCATGACTAAACAAATATAGGATACAAATCCAGCCCAACCAAATAATCCGGAGACAATGTATCCCAGGACTAATAGTCCGATGGATTGCAATCCCCCTTATCTAGTCCGTCCAAACAAATCTTCTGTCTGTCTTCTATCATTCAACAATTAAAAATAAATCTATAAATTTTACCTCTTCCTTTATTCCGATCTATATAAGACCATCAACATTTATGTCAAAATGAGAAGGATCCGAAAGAATTGTCCAGAGGAAAGCAAGCAAGAAAAATTGCAGTTAATGCGTTGAAGAAATTGAAAAGAGGGCCGGATGGGCAGTACACAAATGTGTGGGAGTGATTTGGACATTTTGATAGGAGCGTTTGAAAATATTGTTTCCGGACCAGAATATGCAGAGCTTAGACAAGGAAGGCCTAAGAAATTAAATATTGAGTTACAAGCACGAATGAGAGACCCCAACTATAAGTTCTCACCCGAGTTGAAGTTACAACCGAAAGCAAGCTGGTCCCCAAGAAGAAATGGCAGAAGAAGGCACAGTCGAAGCGCTAAGAGCAACTCAAACAGGTTGGCTAAGAGCAATTCTTTTTCCATGGCCAAAGATATCATAATGTGAATGTCCATGACAAGCATATGATCTTGATGCTGCAAATGTAATTAGATTTGTCCAAAAAGCTTTTAGCCCAACAAGGAATTAGGAAGAAAATAGAAGAAAATGGAGAGAGACTGAACCAAATAAAATGTTGTCACAACCACTACATTGGAGAAGAAAATATCGATTTTCCTTCCATATCTATAGTAACTCAAAACAACTAAATTGCTGACTCATCAGGGTTTGCTTTAAATCTTCACTTTCTTGCATTCTACATGGAGGAGGATACAAACATACTACAGAAGCAAAAGAAGAAGCTCTCATGCTTCATCATATTGCACAAAAGTCGTAAGAAAAGAAATGAAAATTTATGACATTACTATTACCTCAACCTATTCGAAGAATCTAGTTCTCATTTCTGTACTCATCCTCTCTGCTATCATCAGCTGGTTTTTCCCAGGACCTCAACAACCACACCTGTGCTCTACAATACTACATATGTATAAGTCATATGGAATTGACTATTTCCACAACAGCAATACTAGGTACTTGGAACATGGAATGTGTTGGTGGTCCACGCAATACCAAGATGAATCTACACAACATTTCACTTTTGGGCTAAATTTATCACGAAATTAGGGGGTGTTGCTTGATCCTTGTGGTGGGCCCAAATGACCTTGCACAGGAGACGGTTCCAGTTATCAAAAAAAACTTTCAGGGTAAATTTCATGGTTACATGTCTTATCCCTTTCCCCACTTCAAGCATGAGAAAAACTGCATATATCATAAGGTATACATTTTTCAACACCAAAAAGATTAGTTCATTTTAAAAATAAAATAAAAAAATCCTTTATTTTCCCTTATGGGCATGTTGTATATAAAAAATTTCACCAGATATATCAATAACATATGCATCCTCAAACTTGAACACCAAATCAAATGCATAGACAATTAAGTTTTGTGCATTTTATTCTGAACATTCAAATATCACATTACTCTATTGTTTATAAAAGTGCACCTGAAAGGTTCAATTTTTGACAAGTCTCCTCCTCTAAGGACTTTTGACAAACACATGGTACACATTTCCTATAACGAAAGTTCGCCACATTCAATTAAATGTGAAATAAATGCAAGAGAGACAAATAAAAAAAAAAAAAAAAAAAAAAAAAAAAAGGAAAGAAAGAAAAGAAGAAGAAAAGAAAAGAAATGAAACGAAACGAAATTAAAATGAATAAATTCCAATAATTTGACGAACTGGGTCGAGAGAGTGGGAAGTGGATGCTGACCTTGGAAGATTAAGCAAGGCCATGAGTTAACTGGGTTTCTTGAACTGATCACGAGGGCTGAACCAGAAAGAGTTTTGGAAATCTGAAAGGAGGAGACTTTGGTGATTGAAATTGGGTTTTTGTGATTGTGAAGAAGAAGAGAGAGGGAAGAATGAAATGGCGGGAACAGAGCTTTTGGTTTCATTCTCAACGGTTCAAAATGCTGTTTTTTAAAATCGTTTGTGGCAGTTAATAGTCATAGGAAACAAATCGGGTCGGGTTGATTGTTTGGATTGTTTGGCGGTGCTCCGAACTTGTTAATTTTTGCCTCTTTATTTGTGAAAATTAGACTTCCTCTAAAATGCTTGTAAAGATTTTTTCATGGTGAAAAATTCATTTATTGAAGTTATATGTTATTTGGCTTCTTATTTAACTTTTTTTATAATAAGAACACGTGTTGAAAGCTCGTAGAAAAAATCATCGATGACCAACAGTTGCAGCGATGAGATAGATAAATAAGTAACATTTGAATTGATAATTAGATAAACAAGTGACGCGTGGACAAATAAATAATATTTGGATACATAAGTGGTATTTGAACAAATAATTTGCATTTGAATATATAGATATAAACTTTTGGATACATAAATAATGTCGTTTTAGTCCAAGAAGATTGAAGTTTGAACTTACTGACTTGGCAATTTTAGATGTAGACCTCTGACTGAGTATCCATTTCTTATTATTTTTATAAAAATGAGAATTTATAGTCTTGAATAATTAGAACTTTTAACTTTGTCATTGATTTAGAAAAGAAGGATGAATTCAATTTTACACCAACAACCAATAGAAAAAGCCAAATACAATGAAATGGAATCGATATTGTCTTAGTTGGACCGGTGGATCCTATAATTCGTTCACTGCATCAAATTATTCACTTGACTTCCAATTTGCATATTATGTAATTTGATCCAACTAATTAATGATGATAAAAATAGAGACAATGGTCATATATGCCTCATGTAACTATTTTTCAAGGACAAAATCAGAAAACCAACCATTTCAAGATGGACACAACGGTCCAATCATTCTTCTCTCATCCTCATTTCCAAAAAACATAAAAACATCCTAAGATGCATTCTTTATGGCCATAAAATTTATAAAAATTAAATAACTTGATTGCTTTTTTGTGTAATTCTAGTCACATAAACATTACAACAAAATGTGAAGTCAAGAAAACCAAATTCAAGTTTTTGTTTGATTATAAGCATCTAACAATAATGTGGGAATACATATGATGAATTTTAATAAAATTATTTCAATTATAGAACTCATTTAGTTGTATCTCTCAGCCTTGTATTTAACTTGTGGGTGACGAATATCGTCTTGGCTCTGAATTAATCGAATTTCCAAACTGCTTGATTGAGGATCATAGCCAGCTGCTTTGTAGTCATTCAGTGTCCTCAGCAGAAGTGCCTGCAAATATTGAAAACAATCCAGCAATTAATCAAAACAACATTTCAAAGATCAGCTCAAATGCTTGAAAATGAAACCAACCCCAAATTGGATTCATGCATTTTTATGCACTTTTTAGATGTTAGTCGTTAGCATTTTCCTAGTTTTCATTGTCTAGACTGTAATTATTCAAACTATTAACTGAAATAAGCATGCCAGAGAAATGTTGCGAAAAGAACATCTGGGCATTGCGAAACTTTTCAGAATAAAAGACTGAAAGAAAAGACAAGAAGAAAAATTGAACAAGGTGCAGAGAAATCAAAGCAAGATGAGAAGGGTTTCCAGCCAGGTAACTTGTCAGTACAGCCTAACAACAAATCATTACTCCTTTTTGCCTGAAATCTGCTAGATCAAATTTATTTACGAGTGTCTGAAGTTCCAGCAAAAACTTTGCTTCAGAGAACTCAAAAGTGAATGCGCGTTTTCTTCAAACTAAAAGAGATGCTCATTGGAACGGTTCAAAAGAAATTCCAAAACTAAAATATTAGGAAGCTACACCAACAAGGTCCAGATTAATTTTAATTCAATGCCCAAACATGTCTCAAGGAAAGAAGGATGTAAATGCTTGACCTCAATGACTGGTGCCTCACGTAACATAATCTCGTTGGCAAAAACAAGCAAAACTCGGGCAAGGTCTTACATGTATATCTAAGTTTTATCCTGTTTTCCACCTTAAACAAAATTCCACAATTCCTTCGAAGTGGTCACCAAAATTCAGGAATTCAGCTCAGCACAAGCAAAACCAACATTTTTTTTTTTAAATATTGACTGTCATTATTTTGAAATGGAGAGCACAACCATCTTAGAAATGAAAGTAAAAAGACAGTGGAAATTTTAATCCTGCCAGATATCTATGCATGATTAAGCAATCAGAGCAGCAAGGATACTGATGATTGCACCAGACAACTCTTTAAAAGATTTTTCAAGACATCAAATCCTGGGGTTTTTCTCAACATAACTAGCTAGAGGTCACCTACAGATCATCCACAATCGGCCCACTTGTATCTGAAACACCGCAGTTGTCTACATGATTCTATATTAAGCTCTGGATCTCCGTGGAAAATTAAATCATTGTCGCCTTGATTGCTTTTGGGCCATAACAAATATCCCAACCTTCAGGTTAGGTGTGTTTTTGCTCAAAGGATTTCATATTCTTATCATCCTCTAAGAGCACCATCTCCAACTTTTCTACTCCGAAGAATTTTCCATTAAACAATCGCACCTTCTGCCTAGTTCTCATTTCTTTAAGCTGTGTTTGGATCACGGATTTGGATAAGGATTTGGAAAGGCAAACAAAAAGGGTCAACCTATATTTCATTCACATTTGCCTCACCTTTTCCCTTCCACTTTCCTTTTTCAAATGCCTATCCAAATCCAAGATCCAAACACAGCCTTGAATTCAAATTCTGTTTATGTTATGAAAGCCCCCGAAATTGGCCTTAAAAAAAAACAAAACAAAACAAAAAAGAAGCTCCAGTCAGCTTCCAGTAACATCTAAACACCCTTTCTTCACTGGACTGTATTTCAGTCCACAATCTCTAAACATATCATTTTGTTCTTGATTATTTTCCAGGTAATTTAACATTGTTATCCCAATCATCAGGTGAGTGGATTTGTTCCAACAATAATAGAAATTTTTTTCTATATTATAATTCTTCTCGTGGGTGCAGCACAAATAATCTGATAATGAATCCAGTCACTTGTATCACAATAAATTTGCAATAAACGCAAGATATGCCAAATGGGCCCTGATGGTGAGTATCCATGGAATGAATTTAAAAATATTTATATATATATATGAGGAATACCTGCACGCTTGATACAGCAAGCTCTGCTGCTTTGTCAAGATTGTTGGGATATTTCTGGACAACATGAAAAGAATAATTATATTAGAAACAACAGATTAGGGGCAAAAATGTCCCTGGAGTAGGGTTAAGGTGGCAAATAATTACATTGCTCCATCCAAGTAATAGTGCAGTCATTAGATCTCCTGTACCCTACAAGCATAAAATGTACTTATTATTTTACAATTGGCAGTTGTATTGCTAAAATTCATGCCAGATTATTTGCAAATATAATCCTAGCACCTTAAACACAACCATAAATAGTTCAGCAGAATATCCTTTAGTTAAAATTACATACCGTGAAATATGCAGGAATTTTGGGTATCATAATCTTGAACTGCTCAGGTGATTGACCCTATAACGTAAAAAAATCAAGTGAAACAAGAAACTTCATGATAAGCAATTAGTTAATTAAGCATTTTGGACCAGTAATAATTTCAAAATAGATTAAATTAAGATTGGCCAAGTTCATGAAAGATACTAAAAATCATTTTAAAAAATATTGAAATCTGACAGTAATTAATATAGAAGTACACCATAATGAATCTAGTAAACAGATTTTTCAACAGCATCTCTGGCCTCCACACAAGCTTATAAAATACATGAATAAACAATCTACAACATCATCATCTTGGTTAAAAAAAGAGACAGCAAACTCATTACTCAATTGCCCAGGCTTGGTGGTTAAAAAAAGAGACAGCAAACTCATTACTCAATTGCCTAGGCTTGGTCCCAAACTGAGTTTTTTATTATGATTTTTTGTGCCTGGGCCAGAAATAGAAATAGGATGTAAGCCTGCACATTTGACCCTGGATTGGCATAAAGCCAAAAGCCAAAAGCATAGCAAGCAAGCCATAAGGGATGTGCGCTCCAAACCTCATCCCTACGAGCACTGCGCAAGACCAGCACACTTGCTATGACACTCTGTATGGGGCTCTCAATCTCCAAAGACTCCAAAAACCCTCATGGATGCCAAGAGCCTGCCTACAAGTCATCTCGGGATTTTCCACTTAGTGCCCATAGTGGCACTGACGATGGAAGTTACACCACGACAAACCCCCACCCCCCACAATAATAGCATTTTTATCTATTTTCAAACTGAGTTAAGGAAACATAACTCCTGCTCAAGGAGTCATAATAGCCTAAAGAAGACTCCACAAATCTCATTATTTTCTTTGGACTTCTGGCGACCTCTACAGTGCTAGTAGCCCATGCTAGCATGACAATACACCTCATAGCAAGCATAATGACTCCACCTTTGTGTCAAACCCATTGAGGACAACTTAAGGGTCATGAGTGTGGCTCTTTAGCCAATTTGCAGCTCGTGATATTATGCTAATAAAATGATATAGTAACAAACACCAAACAGATAAGGTAGTACCAATGTAACAAATCATCACCTCTACTACTGAAACAACAAGGTGAGCATGGTTTGGATTGGTTTGGTTTAGGAGTAAACCAAGGACCGAACCATCACTTATGGTTCCATGAAATTTGGAACCAAATCAAACCATGAAAATCTTGGAACCAAACTAGACCGAACTCGTAAAACTCAGTTTTGGTTCGGTTTGGAACCACAGTTTTTAGAAGCCTTGTCATCATTCACACATGATCACAAAATATTATTGATAACTTAAGAATTGTTTAGATGATTGTTTAAAACTAGTTCTACCACTATACAAGAACACGCTTGCGAAAGTAGAGGGTTACAACATATGCATATATAGTTGATGCTAATAAGATATTTGACTGTTTACCGTATGAAATACAAATTACATATATATATATGTATATATCTAAACAGTCTGGTTCGGTTCCAAATCAGATATAATTATAAAACCATGTGAAGTACAATTTGCCTATTTGAAGAACCATGATCAAAGCGTGCATTGAGAAAACCAAACCAAATCAAACTGTGTGATTTGGTACAGACCGGATCGATTTACGATTTTTTTATTTTTTTTTTTGCTCAGCCCTATGAAACACTAGCAACTTTGACAAAATAATTTAGTTTCTAAAGTGAGTAAATCTTTTTCAATTTAGAGTTATTAAATCTTGAGTAGGAGCTATGTAATTATGACAAAGACCCACCTTTTCTTTTTGATGACTGCCAATTAGACGAAGATTGCCATCAATACTTATGCTAGTTATCACCACCTGAAAAAAGACAAAGAATTTCACATTATGCTATAAAAAGAATAAGAGATATAAGCACTATAGTCAGACAATGTGATGTTGACATACACATGCAAGATCAATATAAAGTTGATAGAAAAGAATCTCAAATATGAGAAATGCTTAATTACTTTAGTCAAGAAATTGATGGTGAGTTTCAGCACAGAAAAAACTTTTTCTGGTACAATGAAATATGGTTTTATTGTAAAGAGCATGAGACAATGGATAGTATATTTTGTCTTCATCAAGGAAAAAAGAACGTGATGATGGACAAAGAAGTGTAATTCCTAATGAACTAACATAGTGATACTGACATTATGTTGAAGTGATAAATTGCTGCCTTTCTCTGTTTACATTTACATAGTGATACTGCACGTATCATATGAGATTGTTTGCATGATCATGGCTGGCTGGCCTTGAAAAAAGAAGAATTCTGCTCCCAATAGTTTCTCCAAACATACTCCCGTTTCCACATTATCTAAATTCTCAAGAAAGCAGCGATCTAAGTTTGATTTGACTCTCCCTGAACACCAAGGTGCCACAAAGCAACAAAGGAAGTTGCGCAAAGGGAGTCCCTTGGAGTATCCCACATTTTATCAAGAGGAGAAAAAGGGCAACAGATATAAAGATGACTGGATCTGTCATTGCACCTTTTACCCAGCAACACTCAGGCTGAGCATTATAAGGCCTGCCTGCTTGGAGCAGATCATCTATATTGGCTTTGTTCTGAACCACAAACAAACCAAATTTTCAGTGGTTGCAAGGAAAGCCCCCATGGGGGATTGGATTTCTAAATCTTTTTACCCGCGGGGGAGACAAACAAACCAGAAATTTCAAAAAAATTAAAAGAAAATTTTAGAAAAATAAGCTGATAGTAAGACATGCAGGTCCCCTTAAGGCATTGTTGCTAATAATTTTTTGCTTTAGAAAACAGAACCATATAAAAGACCTACTAAAAACCATATAGAAGACTCAATAACATCTTGATCAATATTAGAACCCATGGACAAAAACTGCACCTCAGGTCCAGCAAAATGGAAAGTTACCAAAATACTCTAAGCTCTTAAAACCAATGAAAAAGAACAAAAATATCAGTAGCATACGAACTTATAATAAATGTAAATAAAGACCCAAAAACACTGCCATGGGCACTACCCTTTGGACCAAAAAGGCTATTTGATGATCGTGGGACCCATAGCCATCTTTAGGCTTTCAAAGCCTATTATTCTTGTTTAGACATCCAGTGGAAGCGGTAACACATGCACACAGTGCACATCACAGCCTTCAAGGATTCAGTTTACATAGAAAAGAAATGTATATATTTAAGCTAGGAAGTTGCATTTTGAAAGAGATGAGAAGCATTGAGAGGCAACTTCCAGGTTCAATAGGTCTAAGATACAAGTATTAACAAACCTTTGGTGGTCCAGCAGCATGAAGAATGTTGCAGGCTTCCAGGCCATCTTGTTCAGACACAATCCTGTGACAAGTGAACCTACTCAGAAGGAACAACTGGCTAATGCAATGCAATGAAATCAACTGACAAAACTCAGTAAGGTAGGCCCAAATCAGAACTCAATTTCATGAATCCAGCCATATATAGTAGCATGTCTAGGACTTGAAAGCATATGGGAACGACATTCCATGAATATTTCCAAGCAGCATCAACCGATGGCATCACATTTGACATGAAACAGATGCCATAATGGAATACTAATAAGTTTTTGAATCAGAAACAGAAAACAATTTTAAATGGTTTCAACATGGAAGCATCTAGTCTAGCTTTGTATATACAAGATTTTACAGCTTATGACCAGTTATTTTTATGTCATAGACCTAATTTTATTTATCTTATATCCTAAACAAACGGGAAAATGAAATTCCCATCAGATGTTACTGATCTATTAGTAAGAAAAGAGGGATCTAGATTTATGGAGAACAACACCAGAACAGAACAAACTACCATACCATTCTGTAATATCAATAACATGTTATGAATACCTTAACCCAGTCAACTGTTCTGCTTCAAATTGGTTAGGAGTCAACATTGAAGCAACAGGGACAACCTAAAGAAAGGAGGTTTTATTAAAGTGTATAACAATAATATCAATCACAAATGTCCATAAATAAATAAAAAACACACACAAAAAAAAAAAATGTGCAACCATTCATGTGGTTATAATTATTTAATAATATATATATATATTTTTTCAAATTTTAGACACCTCAAGCCTTATAATAATTTTTCAAACAAGTGTGAAGCGATATGTTTTGCAATCCATATAATAGTCATACTCATGAAAGGGATATTTTATCTAAAGACCATATATATACAAATTGAATAATTACAAGCTCTAAAGTTTTCTTAGAATAAAAACAAAGCATTTTTAACTATGTTTTTAGCATATTATAATTATAGGAAATAACTTTCTAAGATAAGAAGTACTAAACTAAATGCTGGGGGCCATTGCTTGGTGCAAAGGAAAAGCACATGAGAACACAACTTCGAGTCTCTAAATGAAAACCAGAATTAAAATTTGTTACTGGCCTCCCAACAACTCAGATTTCCAGGGCCAGCACAAGGTTATGGCATTCATTTAAGTAAAAGGATAACTTGATGATGGGAAACTAACCTTCTCACGGTATACTGCTACCAGTTCTGGAGGGACATAAAGCTTTCCTTCATCACCCATTACTGGATCACAAACTACAAAGAATAACAAGCACATGAAGTCAACAATATCAAAGCTGTCTATAATCAGTGAGGGAGAACCAGATTATGTCAATGGAGTCTCCCATGAGAACATTATCCTCATAAATCAAGTATATGGCAAGAATATTTTCTCAACAAACAGTAAGTTTGTATTCTTATTAACTTTATCCTATCAATATTGTCTTCTTCTAGATCTCTATTTCTGTAAGATAATCTTTAACACAGAATTCTTGCTGTTTTGGAATGCCTGGACATTAAATTATAGTTTTTTCTGACATTCAAAAATTATAGTTAGTCTGCCTTTTTTTAGACCAATAAATGAGGTCCAGCATAGTCATCATAAGCAGCACAGAAGTAGCCACAGGAGGAAATCTTATCCCAACCACTGTAATAGAATCAAATCTCTTGGATTAATCAAGCACCACAATACTAAAGAATTCACAAGTCAAATAGGGACAATATCAAGTAGAGGAGTGCAAGGATTTATTTGAGAATTATCTACATCCACCTTTTGAAACAAAGCAAGGTATGCAAAATTTTTTGTAAATAGTTAAACTAGTTCACCCATTCCAAAAATAATTAACACCCTTTCATAATGTTCAGTGTCTATAGGAATAGGTTGAGAATGTTTGGTTATGAAGATAACCATGTTCCCTTAATTTTACAAAAAAAAAAAAAATGAAATAAATATAACTATTTCAAGATTAAGTGGAGAAACTTGTTTGATTCCAACAATGTATGTAGACCTTGGATTATTGGGCACGTTAAAAAAGAAAGAAAGAAAAGAAAGGTCCATATTTCCACCACAGTATAATCATTAATGAACCTATGATGTTGTTTTAGGAATCCTTGTAATTGTAATAACTACAACATAAATACATCAATCAATAATACATACAATTATTCTCTCTCTATCAATTTATTTTTTACAAGTATCATGATAGAAACTACAAGAAATTCAAAGATGAGCTCAATAAACCAAAAAGCCAAAGAATAATGACTTAATCATAACAATCATGTTGAGCTTCAGAAAATATTAATCAATAAAAAGGGAAAACAAAAGCACATACTAGAACTAAATTCATGAATAGCAAGAACTTTCAGTGTTCAGTATCTAACTCACCGTAAGTAAGTTTGGGGTTGACAGACCGAAGCTTGCTGATGACTTCTAATACAGTGTTCAAAAAGGAGACCGAACCAATATAACCTACAGATACACTAGTCAGACTTGTTAACGCATAAAATGGATATGATAGAATCAAAACAGGAAAAAAAAAAAATGGACATACAACAAAAATGCCAGTTTACAAGAAAAACAAAATGCAACAAACTAAAATAACAGAAGAGCAGATTCATCAAAGATTCAAAGTAAAACAAAAGGATTCTAAACACAGGTATACTTGAGCTGAGTTTGATTGACAAAGAAAAAAAAAATTCATTTACAAAAATGCACAAGTGGTTGTTGACAGAAGAAAGTGGGTCCTGCCATAAGTACTATTTTGAAGGAAAGATTTTCCCACAATTTTGCCTTGCATTTTATACATGATTATGCATTGCAGGAAAGGGTAGCTTTATTTTCTCAAACTTTCCAGTAAACCAAATGAATGGGAGAGTGGAAGAATTACAATAAGGCAAGGAGCAAATGCTTTGGATATGCAACCACTCTAATCAAAAGTTTGAGGTAGTGGGAAAAAAGATTGAAGGTTCAAATCAAATGAATCAGCTGCGCACACTGTCTCATTCACAACTTATTTTCATCCCCAAACTACTAACATGTGAGGCTTGTTCTTCTTTTCCTGGGTACAGATTGGAGAAAATATTGGGTACAATTTGGAGAAAATATACATACATGTACACAAATATATAATTATACATATGTTATCTGTGACAAAGCTATATATAAAATATAAAAAAAATGATGGGAGGTCAAAGTAAAGTACCAATTTCTATATACCATCAGATGACTAAGAGTCTGAGACATGGCTACTAGCCACCATAGTAAACAAAACCAAATATTTGGAAGATAAATCCTTAAATACAACAATTAAAATTTTCATACCAGTCAATAAATGAGTATAGAATAATAAATCATTCGCTTCAAGGCCTTCTATTAACTCCCACAATTGTTGTCCATTCAGAACTTGCCCCTTGAAAGTTGGGTATCCTGCACAATTCTGAGGTTAATTAAAAAAGATGACCTGACCACATTTTAACTAGGATTTCATGCCTGAACCAATGCAGATTCACAGATGACCTCATATGTCGGGACTGTTTGAGTGAAGTGATATAAACATCTTGCCTGTATGGTTCGAGAACTGCACTGAATTGATTGGATCCACATCATAGCCCAGAAGTTGAAGAGGAAAAACAGCTGATTTATTGCCGACATATCCCTAAGGAGGATAGAAAACAAAAACAACATCAATAGAGAACAAAACCATAATCTCCACCGAGCTTATTCAAATGGGTGATTCTATTTTGAAGTAGAAAGCACATTGACTCCCCATTTATTAAGAGGGAGATTTCCACCTGGCTGCATAGCACACTAATTCAGTCAGCACGCTAACAATGCTGCATAGCTCCGTACAAAGTGATATCTATTCATCGACATTAACACCTGGCTGTGTACCACTTCCATTTCAAGAAATAGAAAAAACATATAAAGGAAACATCACCCAATTGATTTCATAATTAGTGATTGCACACAAATCATCTAGCAGGGCACAAACTCCTTATCTATTTATCGACATTAACACGTGGCTGTGTACCACTTCCATTTCAAGAAATGGAAAAACATAAATGGTGACAAGAACATAAGCCCATTTGATTTCATAATTAGTGATTGAATACAAATCATCCAGCATGGCACAAACTCCTTTTTCCCAATTATGTGGACCGCCAACTCCACCTTCATAGTTCTCCAAACATTATGCACATCAAATTTTTGCATCAATCTGTACTATCATACAAAGAGAACTCCCCGTTTTGCTTACCTCAACCTTTCAAACAGGTTCAAATTGTTCAAAGTTTTCTCAAAATTTTCAAAAATATGCATTTGATGTCCTTGCTACAATAGGCACAAGGACAACGCATCTAGTTCTTATTTTGCCACGCCATTCTCACTCCCAAAAAATTCCCTATAAAACTTATGATTACTCGGAAAAAAAAAAAAAAAAAAAAAAAAAAAAAAAAAAAAAAACTAGTACTCACTGAAAGGGCATTTGCCGCATTAGTTACTTACCAAACCATTACATTCTTTACCCCCTTTTTTTCAGCATGCACAAAAAAGTTAACAATCGCGATTTGTAAGATGGATAATTCAACACTATTGCTCAATTCATTTTGTTTGTGCTACTTGCTTCTAATTCTACTCAATATCCCAATGTATAAGCACTTCAAACAAGGTTACACTCAAATTGATCTGTTTGTGATAATAAAGACCGGCATTAAAAAAATAAGCAATAATTGATTTACAGGAACTACAAAAAGAAGAAAAACAAAGCACAAATTCTTTAAAAAATTTCAGAACCCATAATTTGAATACAAGTACCTGAACAGTGTGAGATTGAATGCTGAGAACTCGACCCGTTTCCGATGGCAAAGCTAGCGAAAGGATTGGCGGCGCCATTACTGACTTCTTCGAGCTTCTCAACCTACAACATTCGGTCAATAAAATCTTCAAAATGGTATGTATAGAAACATAAATCCATACATTGAATTGAAAATTTTCCTTGAAAGTTTCACCTGAAAATGTCAATTTCTCGGACTGCTTTCAATCCAAGCCGATCAATGAGCATAGACTTTATCATATAAACATATGTATATATATAGCTGTAGAACACTTGAGATTGTGGTGAATCTTATTCCTTTACAATTAAATAATGAATATAAAATCTTTGCGTTGAGTTTACAAATTTGCTTTGATTGCTGCAACTTTGGTGTATGGGTTGAAGAAATCAGAGAAAGTCAATGTGAGATTGTTCAATCTGAGAGAGAGGGTAATTTGGTGATTTCCGTGCTGATTCCATTGATGACGATCATGATGATGGCATTCAATTTTAGGGTTTCTGACTTTGAAAATTAAAATTGAAATTGGGAATTGAAAATTTCGCCAAAAAAAAGAGATTTTTAGGGTTTTCGCCGCCACTCTACAAAGAGGCGAGTTGGAATTAACCTAAAGGTCAAACCCTATTTTCCCTCCCTTGTTTTTCCTAGAATCTTGATATATACTAGTACTAGGGTATGCCCGTGCCTAAAGGCACGGTGAAGGTTTTATTTGAATGAAAATGTAATTGGAATAATTTTAAGATTTTAAACAAATAATAAAAGGAAAATGTAAGTCTTATAATACAGTAACATATAATAAAAATAAGATGAAATACGCTAGTCAATACTCTGTAATAGAAAAAAATAAATAAATTAAGCACACCAGTTCGTGCTCTGCAATACAAAGAAAATGCCAAATAACAAATTAAGCACATCAATCAATATTCTACAATACAAAAAAAGAGAGTACATATAACAAATTAAGTACGCCAATCAATACTCCACAATAGAAAAAAAAATAACAAATAAATAAAGCACACCAGCCGTGGTTTGCAATTGCAATTCAAAAAAAAATGACAAAAATTGTGCAATGAACAATTATTTTAAAAGATTAATACGTACACAATCCAATCATATATTAAAAGCAACACCCTTCTTGTTAAAAATATATAAGAAAGCACAAATTCAAATTCAACAAAAAAAAGAAGAAGATGATTAGTTTTCTTTAAGCTAATTCAAGAGCATATTAGGAAGAAAAAAGAAAAAAGACTATATGACCGAGTGAATAATTCAAATGAATATTATATAACATACATCTAAACTTAGTTATAAATTGCACATGGATAAAAGACTTTACAAAACTAAAATTCACATTGATAGGAAACTTTACAAAATCTAGATCGTAGCTAGCATATGTACGCTTTTTACAAAAAATAAATATGATTTCCAAACTTGTTCTTTCTTAGAATTCGTAGGAGCGTCTCATCACTTTCCAAAAAGTTTTTGTATCAACTTCTATGTATCCCCAATGAGGAGCATGCACAACAATCTAGTAATTTATGAAAATAAAAAAGTTAGTATATTAGTAGAAGAAAATCTATATAAATATCAAAACACTCTTGGCATTTCTTTATTGAAGAAATTGAAACTATAAATACAAAAGAATTAGAGGTAAAAAAAAATTTAAAATATATGCATGTAAGAAAATGAGTAAAAAGAGTCAATATTAAAGTTTGACATAGGTCTCCATCCATTAGAAAAGAGCATTTTGTTATCAGGAAATTAGATAAAAAATAATGAAAAGAAAAGAAAATTGACTTCAACTTATAAGAAAGGTGTATTTTTTTTTTGTTCAAATAAATTAAAAAGAAAACACCTTACGTGACCAAAAATGGTAATGTTGTCCATAATTAGAGGTTGGAGGTCAATAGTGTCTCAACCTGAAAATGTCTGGTTATGTAAATTAGACAAAGATAACTGTAAGAAGGCAGAATGAGGTTTAATAATGTAGTTAACAACCTACTTTAAGAAGTTGATTTGTGCATGAATATGACAAATGGAGAAATTGAACTACCTAAAGGCACGGTGTAAATTATGTTAGTATCAAAATGTAGTTGTAATTTATACGCATCATGTTGAAATTTGTAGAGTCTGTAGCATTTTTTGATTTTTGATAAAAACACTGAAAAAATATAAAGAAATATTATTCTTCGTAAAGAACTTTTAACAATTTTAGTAGCAAATCGGATAATAAAATATAAAAATTAATTTCAAAGAGAGGGTTACAATAAAGATGAGAAGAGCAAGTACATAAACAGAATAAAAAGGGAAGAATAAGAGCTATGTAAAGTAAAGAATAAAAAGTATGCTCGTGCGTAATGACACGATGTAGTTGAATACAAATGTAATTTATTAAAATGTAGTTGAATACAAATGTAATTTATCGAAAAACGTACCAAAAACTTAAGGCATTGAGAAATATAAAGAAGTTTCACTTCTTCCTCAAGCTCTCTAATGTGAACCTATTAAGCAAATTTAAAGCAATGATTCAGATATATAGGACCACAAACACAATGCTTCGTATACAAATTACCATATATGTAAATAAAGAAATAAATTAGAAGTGATTTTCTACTTTGAAGCACTCTTACTACAATTGAAACCTTCTTAGATACATATCAATACCAAAAACAATTGAAAAAACTAACTCAAAAAAAAAAATAAATATATCCAACAGAATCACGATAAACAAAATACATCTTTTAGAAATGAAGGAGCACCAAATCCAAAATTACTAAGAGCACTTCTCAAAATAATAATAATAATCATAAAAATTATAAGAACATTACCCCAAAACAAAACCCACAGCTCACATCTGCTGTGCACCACAACTCATTATCATTCTGCAAATCACCACTGAATAATGTCCCAGATAAAGCTTAAGTAAATACAAAAGTATTCAATAAATACCAAAAATATTTTGTTTAATTTGAAACTATGAGTAAAAATATGCCCATCTATTTTAGTTCCAGCTTAATGTTAACAGTCAGGTTAACCTTAATGTTCACATTAACCAATTTAAAGTTAACAATCCTCAACCCATTTGACTAACATGAAATAAAAATGGGTGTTAACATGAAACCAATTTTTTCCTTAACCCCAATTTGATTTGATAGAGGGCGAGACTTTGTTGATGATGGTGGGAATGATGGGATGGAAAAAAAAAAAAAAAAAAGAGTATCCAAATTTGTAAGGAAAAAAAAAGTAAATTATTAATTTTATTCACAGATAAATAAATCAATAAC